GTATTATAGGCATGAGCCACCGTGCCCAGCCTACAAACAATCTTTTCTTTCTTTTTTTTTTTTTTTTTTTTTTGAGATGAAGTGCTGGAGTTCAGTGGTACAGTCTTGGCTCACTGCAACCTCCACCTCCTGGGTTCAAGCAATTCTCCTGCCTCAGCCTCCTGAGTAGCTGGGATTACAGGCATGCGCCACCATGCCCGGCTAATTTTGTATTTTTAGTAGTGACAGGTTTCTCTGTGTTGGTCAGGCTGGTCTCAAACTCCCAACCTCAGGTGATCCGCCCACCTCAGCCTCCCAAAGTGCTGGGATTACAGGCATGAGCCACCACTCCGGGCCATAGATAATCATCTTTAAAATGATAAAAGCAGGTTTCAACTGTGGTTCTTCTCTGGGGTGAGAAGGTGAAGATACACATGGGCAAGCTACTGATTTACCTTCTGAAAATACTCTTTGGAAGCAGCTGGATTTGGCTCGATTTTTGGAGAATCCTGTGTCCAATTCACTGGGCAGACTTCTCCATGGGTTTCTACATACTGGAACACCTTCACCAAGAGGAGGGTTTCTTCCACACTTTAGCCCACTGGGAGATCATTAACACTCAAGTGCGGCCAGGTGTGGTGGCTCACGCCTGTAATCCCAGCACTCTGGGAGGCTGAGGCGGTCAGGAGATCGAAACCATTCCGGCTAACACGGTGAAACCCCATCTCTACTGAAAAAATACAAAAAATTAGCTGGGCGCAGTGGCGGGCACCTGTAGTCCCAGCTACTTGGGAGGCTGAGGCAGGAGAATGGCGTGAACCTGAGAGGCAGAGCTTGCAGTGAGCCGAGATTGCGCCACTGCACTCCAGCCTGGGCAACAGAGCGAGACTCCTTCTCAAAAAACAAAACAAAACAAAAAACACTCAAGTGCTTGATGACTCAACTGGGGTCAGTTATGAAGAGACCTCTTAGTGCAAGACTAGGACCTTCTAACAGCACACCGTAGTCTCGGGAATTCGCTTAGTGAAATGTGACAAAGGTGTGATGTTCATGGGACCCAAACCGCCATTCTTCTTTGGTGTATTTATCCAGGCAAGATGGCTAAAGTGGGAATCCACCACGGTGGCTCATGCCTGTAATCTCAGCACTTTGGGAGGCTGAGGTGGGTGGATCACCTGAGTTCAAGAGTTCAAGACCAGCCTCACCAACATGGTGAAATCCCATCTCTACTAAAAATACAAAAATTAGCCGGGCGTGGTGGCAGGCACCTCCCAGCTACTTGAGAGGCTGAGGCAGGAGAATCGCTTGAACCTGGGAGGCGGAGGTTGTAGTGAGCCGAGATCGTGCCACTGTACTCCACCCTGGGTGACAGAGCAAGACTCCATCTTGAAAAAAAAACAAATCCAAAGGATAGAAGAAAGGCACCAAATATTTCCCCTCAAAGTCATCAAGGCTTAAGTCTTTGAACTCTCCATTGACAACGGCTGTACCCTTAAAATAGGGCGCATGCTGGGTGACATCAGGTGCACAGTATGAGGAACTGGTGCCAGAATTTTGCTTGACCGGAACCAGACCACAACATGTTTGTCAAACTTGTTCTTCCAGAATCAGCAGGCCTGATGGCTGCAGTGGCAGAAATACCCCAAGGAATGACACTCACATGCCGGCAGCTGATACTCGGAGCAACCTGCCCACAGCAGCTGCCGTCTTAAAGTGCATACGTATTTTTGTTTTTTTTGAGACAGGGTCTCACTCTGTCGCCCAGGCTGAAGTGCAATGGCACAACCTCAGCTCACTGCAGCCTCAGCCTCCCAGGCGGAAGCCATCCTCCCACATCAGCCTCCTGAGTAGCTGGGACTGCAGGCGTGCACCACCATGCCCAGCTAATTTTTGTAATTTTTTGGATAGAGATGGGGTTTCATCATGTTGCCCAGGTTGGTCTTGAACTCCTGGGCTCAAGCGATCTTCCCGCCTCGACCTCCCAAAGTGCTAGGATTACAGGTGTGGTGGCACCTTGTCTCTAAAAAAATCAATCACATAAGAAAAGATAATAGCTTTTCTCCCCCTCTGATTTTAACAGTAACACA